CAATTTTCCCCCCAAACATCGTTCCTGCTAGTATAGCTGGAGAAATAAGGTTCAAGGCTGGTTTAAAGCTGATTTCTTAGATATTTTCTGTTTATCCCCTTTACATACACCCAGACTGTCCAGGATAATAATTTGATATCTGGCAATAAAAATCAAACTTCTCAGTCAAACTCGCGCACAATTAACAGCCCGATCCGGGAAATTTTGGCAATTTTTGGGGCAGAAGTATTTTTTTGGCATTCTTTTTAAAAGATCCTAGGCTGACCGAAATTTTTTACAAATTTTACTAAGATGACGAAGCGATGTTTGTTACATAACTGAAACGTAATTACTTAAATATCTAAGGCTTACAAATTATCGCTGTCTCAAAGTATGGCGATTTTTTGAAAATAATGCCCAGACTTTTTTATTCTTTTTAGACGTGAATAAGCGAAACCAAAAGACAATCAAAAAGTGCATAATAATTTGTAAAATATTTACTTGTCATTACCATAGAATAGTTACTATAAAGATAATTTACTAGTGTATAATATCATAGAAATCAAAAGTTTCTTTTTACAGAAGCAATCTTACTATTCAGATAATTAAACATAATCGTTGAACATCTGCTAACCATTTCCTCAGCGGAATTCCTGTTTCAACTATACAAAAAAGGTTCATATAACGTACAGATCTCCACACTACCCTTCTTCAGCGAAAATCTGGAAAAAAGATATTACACCTTAAAATCCTCAAAGTAAAGGATTTCGCCGTCTTCATGACCTTTTTGGCGATTTTATTGTAAAAATAGATTAAGCAGATTTCTGAGCTTGAAGTGGTTCATATTCACTTGCGTTTTGCAGACAATTTTTATCAGTAACTACATAAATTCCAAGATTTAAAAGGTACTTGCGAACGGCAGCTAAGTTTTCTCCAAAAAAAAAACATTCGTCCTTTTTTGTGGCAGCCGAAACACCTTATCAAATTTGTGTTCGGAAAAGTGCAGATTTTTTTATTGTCAAAAATGGAAGTTATATTGAGTTTGGTTGACATCGCTCAAAAAAGGGATACGGTAGGTGTATTGTAAGAGACCAAATGTAGTCGAGTTCCACATCTATCAAACTTGTCGGCTTACAAGAACACATTAAATCAGTAGAAATCAAATCGACATGCGTAAGGGGGATATCAGACACCTAAGTGTCTCTTACAGCAGCATTACGTTCAAACCTGGCAATTTCCTTCTACTCGCACGATTTTAAGGATAATTTAAAGATTCAAAGCAAAAGGTAGGACTTAAACTCAGCTAAACCCAGTAAAATCCTTTTTT